TAGACTGCGCTGGTGACGAGAATGATGAAAATGATGACGATGACGATGACTGAATGTATGGATGGGGATGGTTCAATTAAATCCGCTCTCATTGTGTTGCGTGAAACAGGTCCTTTCTCTCCAGTTGAATTTATTATTTTTGAATTTTTCCAAAAAAATTTTGTCCTCTCGCTATTGTATTTCGTCATATTTGTCTCGTGTTTGTGGTTTTTTTCTCTACAAAACGTTTTAATACGTTTCAATTTTTAGTTCTGCATTTTTTCGAATCAATCGTAATATTTTTCCAAAAAAAATTTTTTATATGTCGAATTTTTTTCTTCAATTTTTTTTTTGTATTTATTTATCTGTCAGGAAAAATATTCTTACTCGGAATTTTGGAAAAAGAAAAATTTAATAAGATTATTTAAGGAACGTTCTATCAGTTTTGTATTATTGACAGAATGTGAAAGCTCTATTGTGGCCGTTGTCGTGTTGTAGCGTTGGGTAGATGCGATGGTGTAGCGGTAGAGCTCCTGGCACCGCTACCGCTGTCACCAGATTCGAATGCATGGAGGTTTTCTTCTATTGCATGCTCGTTGTTTGCTTCACTTGCATTTATTTACATGCACTGTGTGTGTGTGTTGTGTGTGTGTGTGTGTGTGTGTGTGTGTGTTTGTGTGTGTTTGTGTGTGTTTGTGTGTGTGTGTGTGTGTGTGGTGAAAAAAAAGGAAAAAAGAAAGAAAGAAAGAAAAAAAATTATTAACTAAACAAATGGAATGTTCTAGGAAAAAAATACACAAACTGTAAAATAATTTAAATATTTAATGAAATTAAAGAAAAAAAAACAAAATAAATATGAAAATAAAAATAATAGTACCAATTGCGAACTTGGTAAATTTTTTAAATCTGGAAAACCTGGAAAAAAAATTTTTTAGAAAAGTTTTTTTTCTTATGGTTTGTGCGTGCCACGTCAGAGCTGTAACGTCCTTATCACAACCGTCTTACATTTTATTTGAAGAAGGAAACAAATATAAAAAGTATTCATTCATTCGTTCGTTCGTTCGTTCATTCATCTGATCGTTTGTTCGTTCCTTCCTTCCTTCCTTCATTCATTCATTTATTAATTCATTCAATCATTCATTCATTCAACCATTCATTCATTCAACCATTCATCCATTCATTCGTTTGTTGTTGTTTTTTTTTAAATTTCGTCACTTGTGTTATTTTCAAATTTGACGGCACGGTTCGTGACTGGAATTTGTTTTTTTTTTATTATTATTATTGTTTTACCCTTGTGTTGTGCTATTATTATTATTATTATTATTATTATTATTATTATTATTATTTCGCATTTTACGTTGCAGATATGCTATTAGAAATTTTATTTAAGTTTTCTCCATTCTAATTCAACATTTTATGACAAATAATATTTAATATTTTTTTCTAAAATGATGAAAATGATGATGAAGACGGTCTAAAGAAGGATGGTGATGATGATGATGATGATAATGATAATGATGGTGATCTAAACAAGGATGAATATGATGATGATGGCGATGAAGAAGGTAAAGAAAATGATGATTTAGACAATGATGAATTGATGACGATGATGATGAATAAAATGGTGATGAAGACGATGATGATCTAAACAAGGATGAAGAAGATGACGAAGAAGAAGATGTAAAATGATGACGATCATAACGAGGATGAAGATGAAGATGATGAAGACGATGATGAAAATGATGAAGACGATGATGACGACCAAAATAACTAATACGATATTTCTGTCATAAAGAGTTTCCATCGTCTGCCAACTCGTCACCACCTTTCCAAGACGAACGATACATGGCGTGTATATATATTTATGGAGTGGTGTGTGTGTGTATATTTGTGGAGTGTTTTCTGGTGTGTGTGTGTATATATTTGTGGTGTGTGTGTGCGTGCGTGTGTGTGTGCGCGCGCGCGCGTGTTTGTGTGTGTGTGCGTGTGTGTGTGTGTGTGTGTGTGTGTGTGTGTGTGTGTAGCTACCTGCTTAATTTTTTGATTTTTCTAACGGTAGGTCTTAAATCATTGTCAAGTTTCTTGAATTCAATAAAAAAAAAATAGCAAATGATGAACCATCTCATTTAATAACCTTATTTAATGTGAGAAAATCATCAAACAACAGTAAAAAAAACATTAAGAACACCAACATCAACAATGTCAACAACATCAGCAACTTCGTCATCACCGAAACTTCAATAACATCAACATCATCAACAACTCTCCACTCTACTCAATTCCACTTAACGCCTTCCAACTTCAATCAACATTTAAACACATCCAACGTGTTTTACTGACACCTACTAATCTGCTTCTCTTTCGGTTCTTTTCTCTCTCTCTCTCCCTCTCTCTCTCTTTCATTTTTTCTCTCTCTTTGTATTCTTCTTTGTTCTGCGTTCTCTCTTTCTTTACTTTCCTATCTGTTTTACTTCACTCTTTCCTTCTTTTGCTTTTTTGTTTTTTTCCATTTTTTGATTCTATTTTCTTTCTTTTTTCAGTTTTTTCAGTTTTTCAGTTTTTCTGCCTTTCTCTAGCTTTTTTATTCATTTTTTTAAATTTATGAATTGTCAATAACGTCGGATGTGTAGAAGATTAAGCTAAGAAAAAAAGAAAAAATCGATAATGAAATTTGATAAATTAAAAAAATCAAAGAGAAAGAAAGAGGAGAGAGAAAAAAAGAGAGAGAAAGAGAGATAAAAAAAAGAATATAAAAGCGAGAGGAGAAAGATTGAAGAAGAAAGCACTAACCAAACAGTAATTGGCTAAATGACTGTGTTTAAGTGGAGCTCTAGGCACGTCATGTATTAATCACGGGGTTTAGGTTTGCTGGGTTAAACATTACTTAGGATGTCACTCAATTGAATTGAGAGAGAGAGAGAGAGAGAGAGAGAAGAAGAGAAAAAGAGAGAGAGGAGAGAAGAAGAAAAAAAGAGAGAGAGAGAGAGGGAGAGAGAGAGAGAAACATCAAACATCGGTTAAACATGATAGAATTGAGTTAATCTTGTGTTAAACATGATAGATAAAAATAGATAAACATATACATATACTTGAAATGAATTAAACCTACAAATTTTTTTTACTATATTAAACAATAATAATCATAACTATAAATAAAACAATTATAATTATAATTTTAGAAAATAGTTTATATTTTTGTTATAATTTTAATTTTCAAAGGGCTGTCAGAATGCATTCCTGAACTGGTTGCAGCCCAGAATTGTGATTATCGTCGCCGTAACTTGTACGGTTGCTGTCTTGCAAGTTAGTTAGTTGACGTTATTGATGTTGTTGATGTTAATGTTGTTGTTGATGATGTTGTTATCGTTGCTGTTGTTGTTGATGTTGCTGTTGTTTTTAATGTTGATGTTGTTGATGTTACTGGTGTTGATGTTGTTGTTGTTGTTGATGTTATTGTTGTTGTTGTTGTTGTTGATATTATTGTTGTTGATGTATAAAAAATTTCAGCATAACTACAAGGCATCATTTACATTAAGACAACAACGTTAGTGTCGTAATTACAAAGTATGATGAAACAAGCTTTCTTTTCTATTATCAACCACCATATACATATTTATAATCAACCTGTAAAATTCAGTTGTTTTTGTTGTTGTTGATGACAGCAATTACAACTTTAACAATAACATTAACGAAAATAATGATCCTACACTCAAACAAAATATGTCCTAGACAAATTAATGTCATTTTCATCTTAATTACAACATTACAACCAACAACAACAACAAAAACATCATCACCATTTTCAACAAAAACAACCAAAACAACAACATCAACGACGTGAACAACAACAACAACAACACCAACAATAACAACATCAACAATAACAACAACTACAACAACAAAATAGATACCCTAACGTAATAGACAAGATTACTTGCACTAATCTGAATGAATGATGGATTGAGCAATATAAAAAAGAAAGATACATACTTTTTAACCGCCAGGGAAAAATATATATATATATATGTATATATATATATATATATATATTTATTTATTTATTTATATATTATTGGTTTGTCTGTAAGCGCCCTTTAAAAAGATCTCAGAGGCGCTAACGATTATTGCAGTACATTGCGTAGCTCTTTATTAAAGCCATGCAATGAATGGAGAGAAAGGGACATTAGCACGGGCAAGCTTGGACGAAAGGATGGTGTTTCAGCCTTTTACGAAATCGAATAGCAGACCACGCAGGGTCACGAAGGTTTCCAGGCAAACCATTCCAGACAGCAGGACCCATTACGGAGAAATTCCTTCGATCAAGAGCCAAGTTTGTGTCAGTTACAAACAGTAAACCTCAATTGTTAGAGCGCAATGTTTGACTCAGCAGCGGAACTGTTCTAGAAATGACTCTGTCAGTTAAATATTTAGGGACAACTCCTTTAATACATTTAAAAACCGGTAAACATATCAATAGTTTTTTTTAGAAGATGTTTTCAAAGATTTCCATGAAAGAATGATTGTTTAGTCGATCAATAGATTGATCAAATGTGCTTCTATAGTAATTTAGAAAGTGTTTCTTTGATATTAAAATAAATTAATTAGATAATAAGCTTTTTTCCTTCATTCAGGTATCGATATTTTTGTGTGTAACGGTCATTTTTGCAGCATTTCTGATGAAAATCTCATCTAGTTACTTTGGCTCATTCCAAATTCGCGGCTTCCAAATTATTATTGTTGTTAGTCTATAAAATTAATCACGTTAGTTCTATCTTGAAGTGTCTGAACTGAACACTGATCAACTCTGCTCTTTAAAAAAAATTGTATTTAAAGTATGTGTTTCAACGGTACTGTCCCAAACAACCCTCCCAACAAATGCTAACTACCTAACAACTATAAAACTCTTACTTAACCCATGCTTATAACCATCAGAGTAAAATCAATACTTGTACTAAGAACATCAAATGATTAATTGTTTTTCATTATCATCTTCGTCATCATCTGCATAATTGTCATCAGCACTGTCATCACTATTATCTTCATTGTCTAGTCATCATCACCATCATCATCGTTGTCGTCATCATCGTCATTATTATTACCGACTACAGCATCGTCATCCTCATCGTCAACAACAACAAAACGCCATCATTATTCTTATCATCATCACCATCACCATCGTTGCCATCATCATCATCCTAACCATCATCATCACCATCATCATTACCAGGTAGCCCACTTCATTTTCGCATGTTCTCTACTCACATCCTTGAAGAAAAGTCATGATGAGTGCCGATGGTCGGATGAAGAGTGCGAACAGTGATGTTGATGATGATAAAGATGATGATGATAATGATGATGATGGTGGTGGTGATGATGAAGATGATGATGATGACGACCACGATTATCTAGTTACCATGTAGAATGTTAATTTTTTTCTTTGTGCTGATGATGAAAAATTTATTTAAATAAATTGTAGATTTAAACAATTTATAATATTAACCTAAAAAAAAATAATTTAATTAATTAATCAGTCAATCAATTGATTAATTAATTGTTTAATTGGTTAATTATTAAATTATTTTATTAAAGAACTATCAATAATAATTTTCAATTAAATTTTAGTTTAAACTTTACTTTAGCTAGAAAATGCGAAACATGTTTTTTGTGTTGAACGACAAAATAATAATTACTTACATGTATGTCTATACAACAAATGTCTATAGATTAGACTAGACACACACACGCACACACACAGACACACACACGCACACACGCACGCACACAAATAGCTCTACCACATGCATTATAACCTATGTATCCTATCTGTAGTTCAAGATTAAAAAGATTGCGTATTTAAGATAGACATCAATCACTTTATTGATCAACCAATAAATCAATCAAACATTCGATCAAGCATTCAGTCAATCAATTAATCAATCAATCACTCATTAAACCAATCAATCAATCATTCAACCAATCAATCAATCAATGAAACATTAATCAATTAATCAATCACTCTTTTTTAGCTCATTCTCAAAAATTCCACGGTCGTTCATTCATTCATTCATTCGTTCGTTTATTCGTTCGTTCGTTCGTTCGTTCTTTCATTCATTCATTCATTCATTCGTTCATAGGTTCATAGGTTCATTCACAGTTTCATTCACTCATTCGTTCATTTGTTTGTTCATTCAATCATTTTTTCATACATTAAAATTATTCATTTTTTCACTTGTTTACTATTTTTTGTCTATATTAATGAAATGAAAAAGCAGAAAATTTTGAAAAATAGAATTTTGTATATATAGTGTAATGTTTGTAAATTAATTAATTAACTTATTCATTCATTAATATGAATCAGTCAATCAATTAGTCAATCAATTAGTTTGTAAAGCGCTATTTCCGCGATATTCAACAACGCTCCTCAGTGAATTTTGCAAACAGATGGGTCTTGAGATCCGCTCTGAACTTCGTAAGTGATGGAGAAGTTGTTAAAGAAAAGGGTAGAGAGTTCCAAAGAAAACATACATACATACAATTTTTTCATTAATCTTATCATTCATTCAGTCAGTCATTCATTCAGTCACCATTTTTCATTAATTTATTATTTTTGTTGCTTCGGTGAAATAAATTATTATTCATGCTGTCTCGTTAAATCCTTCCTATACTCCGAAAATTAATTACTCGCGTAAGTTCTGTGCGAGTGCTAATTGCGCCTCTGATGATGAAGTTCTATCAGAATTTTATAAAAAAAATATATATAAAACGTTCCTGTAGTTTTCCAAGAAAATGAACAATGAAATTAATGCTATTTTTTTCATTCTATCAATCAAACTGTCAAACACAAAAATAGTTAAGGCAAATTGTCATTCCAATCTACAATTATGTTGTAGCAGCTTTTTTTAGCTCAAGTATTCAGTCAGCTCCAATCAGAAATCAAATTATAGTGAGGTGATTGTGAAATGAATTTTCTTTAACGAATTTGTGCCATTGTATTCTTTCTATCAAACGCTGTACTGCAGACAATAGCAGAATTAGACACAGTTGGTAATGATTATGAGTTACTTGTATAAGCTGTAAGTAAAATATGATGAAGTGAACGCTTCTCGATCGAGCATCGAATTTAACTGAAGGATTGAGTTTTGCGGCTTACTTAAAACGTTGCCAAACCTGCAAATGTTAGCGTTGTTATAATGTGTTTTACAGGCGCGGATATAATTTTTTTTCGTTTCTTGTATCAATTATAATAAATGAGTAACAAAAATAGTGCTTTCGGTAATACATATTTATAACGCGAAAAATACTGTTGGGCATTACCAGTTGTTCTAGGCTGTACAATCTGTTTAGAAATCAAGATTTCAAGGACAGCTATAGGATATTAATCACAAGTAAATAGGTAAATTAAAATATTTAATGATTTAAATCTACTTTATTTTATTTCACTTCTTATAAGTAAAAAGTTCATGCGTGTAATTCAATCTATATTTCAATTCTAAGGAAATGAACTCAATGGCTCCTCTGCTTGCTAAATAAGCGTACAAAGACCACCGGCTCTTATTACTTCAGTTCACTTTTAACAATTTGAAACAATATTTTAAAATGGCGGATGAACAAACGAAATCAAAACTGCTCGAACAGTTCTTCAACGTTACTGGTGTACGTGGAGAGAGAGCGAAATTTTTTCTAGAAATGGCTGCTTGGAACTGTGATGCTAGTTTTTCCAGATTTTTATATTTTTGTGTCATTTTTCACTGTTACATTTTTGATAGTTGCTTGTCATGTCATGTTCATTTCATTCATCAATTCAGTACATTCATTCATTCAAGATTCAATCATGAAAGAATGAATTGAATTGAATGATCCATGTCATGTCACACTCCATCACGTATTGTATGATCATAACATGTAATGTCTTGATATGTATATGCAATGTAGTAAGTATCATCTTAATTCTTAGTTCATTTATTAGGATTATTAGTAGTGGATTAGCCATTTACATTTACTTTTTACTACAAGGTTTTACATTTACAGTCAATTCACCATTACTTATTATCACTAATTTAAAATGAACTACTACTAACTACATTATAATATTTCTCAGTTTGGAGTTGAAATCTAGAATGAAATTTGATTAGTCAATTAGTGTTTTCTGTTTTAGTAGTTCATAGTTAACTGTTCTGTTCAGTTTACAGTTGTTAACTTAACAATGAAATAAAAGTAAACTGTAGTTAAAAAATATTTAATAGTTAATGGCAGTTTTTAAAATAATATGATGAGTGTTCCATAAACATTCATGTTCATTAAATTGAATTAAATCACATAATTTCAATTGAATTAAAATTTAATTTTAATTTATTTCATAAAAAAAAAATAAACAGGCTGCTATAGAAAATTTTTTCGAAGATGGTGGTGCTGAGATCCTGAGCTCTGATGAGGATTTAGAACTTCAAGATTCAGCACAACATGGAGTCTCAAACATGCCACAGCAGCCCTCACCACCAATGCAGCAGCAGCAGCAATTGCCTACTCAGTATCACCAACCACACATTTTTGAAAAAAAGTCTTCCAAAAAACCTAAGGAATCTAGCTCTAAGTATTTGCTAAACCATTTTTTTTTTAATTTTATTAATTTTTTTATTAATTTTCTAGTAAATTTTGTTACAAATATTCAATATAATGTTATGTAAAATATAGCGACTAATTGCTATGATGACTAGTTTCATTACAAATTTTTCAAAACTTAGGATTAAAACCTTGAACACCCTGAAACATGATGAGGACAGTAACTCAGGAGAGGAGGGTGAAGCATTCTATGCTGGAGGCAGCGAGTCTGGGGGGTCAGTTAGGGCAATAGGGATGTGCTGGGTTCTTGAACGTGGTGGGTGGTGGACTACACCTAATAATGATTCATGTTTATGACTGTAACTACAATTAGTGGTTGAAATGAAGCTATAAAAATGTGACTGATATGGTTTGTTAAAAAAAGGTGTTTGTTGACTTTCTGTACAGTGATGGACTGTTAGAAATGTATCAGTGATGATGAAAATGATAATAATGATGGTGATGACGATGAAGACGATAATGAAGATGATGAGGACGACGATGGTGTTTTTTTTGTAGAGGGCAGCAGATATTGGGACCAAAGAAGAAAAAGGATCCAAACAATCTTGTCTCAGATGTTTTCAAGATGGCCAGAGAGTAAGTAATGATGACAATGATTAGGATTGTGACGATGAAGATGTTGATGATGATTTAAGTAATGCTGATGATGATAACGATGATGACGTTGGTAGTCATCATGACCATGATTAATCATCACTTTAAATGAAAATATCTATCTTTATAAGATCATTGATGTTACATCATCAAATTCACCCATGAAATGCGATTTAAAATGCTGATACGAAATGAAAGTAAATTATTATTTAATTGATAAATTAACAATATAAATAGCAATTATGAAAGTTAATAAAAATAAAAACACTATTAATTATAATAATTTATTGTTTTAAAATAATATCCAAAAACATTAAATAGACACGGAGCGGAAGTGGTGGAAAACACGATGGCCTCATCATTGGCTGGCAACAAGAGACCGACAGGCGTATTTCAAGGACAGGCGTACAGATTAGGCGGTGATGATGATGATGAGGAGGGTGTTGCCGGGGGTGGCGTACCCTCTAGGAGCTTCGATGGGGGGTCCTTCAACTCTGGGGCCTCTACTTCAAATTCTGCCACCCACAGCAGCGCAGGAAGGAGACAGGTTTTTTTTTCTCCTTAATAATAATTATTTTGAAAATTATTTATATTTTTTTTTAGTTTATTATCAATGTTTATTATTATGCCCTTTATATTTTTGGAAGGAGACCATGTTTTATACAGTATTGTATGAAATCTACCGAATTGTTGGCATTAAGCTTTTTTTGAAAAAACTATATAAACCAAACCTGCACTGAAGATGATTTGTGAAAAATCAAAATAAGGTCTATCTGCATGCTAAATTTGGATAACAACAGTTTCATTAAATTTTCATGATGGACTTGGATGATAATTCTGATTCTATTTTCAACAAATTGAAGAATTTCCAGAAAGTTCTAGTAAGGAAAAGTGAAAAAACAAACCTTAAATTGATCAATGTCAACAATTTTGTAGAATTCATACAATACTGTATAAAATATGGTCTCCTTCCTATATATATATATATATATATATATATATATATATATATATATATATATATATATATATGTATGTATGTATACATAAAGGTAGATGTTGTTTTGAAGTTTTGGAGGGATGGTTTCAGTGTGGATAATGGACCATTGAGGAGCATGCAGGATCCGGCCAACATGGAATTTCTTGAGGATATCAAGGATGGGTATTAATGATGACGACGACGATGATGTGATGATGGTTTTGATGATGACGTGATGATGATGATGTGATGGTGATGATGATGATGTCGTGATGGTGATGATGATGATGTCGTGATGGTTGCGATGAATGGTATGATGGTGATGACAACTATGATGACGATGATGACAATGTCTATGTTTATAGCAATTTGTAGTTAGTTGAAAGGATGATAAAAATCAAGGTATATATATATATATATCGTGATGATATGGTGTCATGATGATATGATGGATGAATGTTTAATACAGCAGTTAAATAATGATACAGGTGATAAAATTATTAAATTTCAGGAAAATCCCAAGAGAATTTGCCACACTCATGAGAGGTTGTATTTATATAAATGTGTGTGTGTGTGTATATATAATTTTTGTATGTGTGTTTTTGCGCGTGTTTGTGCGTGTGTTTAGTTTAATATTATATTATTATATAATATGTATTATTATTTTATTATTATCATTATTATTATTATTATCATTATTATTATTATTTATAATGTTGAAAGTTTTTTTCTACTAAATTCTTTTTTACCTTTTAAAAGACCAGCAGATTAACTTGAGTATGGAAGACCACAGTAGCCAGGAGTATGTAAAGCCGAAAGTTACTCTACAGGCCTTCTCTGGTCACGGCTTCAGATTAGGAAAGTTAGTGTTAAGCTGTCAGTCAATCAATCACTCAATCAGTTAATCACTCAATCAATCAGTTAATCACTCCATCCATCAGTCAATCAATTAGTTAGTTGATTGATCAATCATGTGTTAATCAATCGATCAATTTATTAGTACAGTTATCAGCTTTTTGTTCAATCAATGAGTAGATCAACCAAGCGATCAATTTGTCAGTCAATCATCCAATTAGTCTACCAAGCAATCAATTAGTCAATCAGTCAGTTAGTTGATTGGTTATTTAATTAACCTATTAATTTTTTTCAGTCCAACAGATGGAAACCCTGTCATGCCAAAGTAATTCCGTTTATCTTTTGGGGTAATGAAGATGATAATGATACAATGTGGAATGAACAGGAATAATTAGATGAATGAATGACTGAGAGAAAGAAATGAATAAAGGAATGAATGAATGAATGAATGAACGAATGAACGAGTGAATGAAGAATAATTCAAAATTTCACTCCATGCAGGCAAAGCACAGAGCAGGCACATACTAAGCCAGCAACTGATGCTACAGCTTCCAATAACCAAGCAATTGAAAATATGAGCATTGACAACTCTCAGCCGGTCACGACTCTTCAAATTAGATTGCCTGATGGCACAAGGTTTTTAATTGGCTGGTTGATTTTTATTGAGTGTGACTGCTGATTGGTTGGTTGTTCACGTTCGAATGATTTGATTGGTTGACTGGTCTCATTTGATTGGTTGGTTGTTCTTTTGTGACTGCTGATTGTTTGGTTGTTCCTGTTTGGATGATTGGATTGGTTGGCTTGTCTCATTCGACTGGTTCGTTTAGTTCATTCGGTCGATGGATTGGATGGCAGCGTCATTTATTCATCTATCCATTCATTCGCCCATCCATCCATTTAATCATCTATTTGTTCATTAATTAATTCATTCATTCATTCGTTCGTTCGTTTATAAATGTCCTTGGTATGGAATGGTTTGTTTTATGTTTTAATTTACGAAATGTTTATTATTTATATTCATTTTTAAAATTCCTAGGTTAACGGCAAAGTTCAATCACTCTCACACTATTGCTGATGTCAGGAATTACTTAATAACGTAAGTTTGTTTTACTATCAGTAATTTATACTTCATTAGTATTTACGTTTATTATGTTTTACTTTTATTACCACTCATTCACTCACTCTTCTATTCATTCGCTCATTCATTCATTCTTTCACTCACGGACCTCAGCCTAGTCCATCATTCATTGGCTCATCCATTCATTCATCCTTTCATACACTCACTCATTCATTCACTCATTCATTCATTAATTCATTAACACTCATTCGCAGATCTCAGCCCAGTTTAATGGCGAGGGATTTCACCCTGATGACCACTTTCCCAAGGACCGAGTTGGACAATCTCAGTGCTACTCTGACCTCTGCAAACATCATCAACTCTGTCTTGGTCATAAAGTATAAGTGAGGAAGGAAACGATCATGATGATGGTGATAATAGTGGTGGTAATAACGAGATGATAGTGGTGGTGATGGTGATAGTGATACTGATGTGGATACTGATGATGATGATGATAGTAGTGATGATGAGGAGGATGATGATGGTGGTGGTAATAGTGATAGTATTAACGAGTTTAGTGGTTTTACTAAAATTATCGATTTTATTTTTTTATACTATTATTTTTGTATAATTTGTCGTTTTTATTATTGTATCAATAATAATAATAATAATAATAATAATAGTAGTAGTAGTAATAATGATTATGATGCAAATTGGTTGTGGTGATGATGTGAGGATGATGAAGATGTGAATGAAAGATGTGATAATGCGGTACTATATTGATGATGACATAGACCTTACTCTAAAAAATATTTAAAATGATGATGATGGTGGTGATAAAGATGACGGTGATGATGGTGGTGGTGGCATTGACGGTGATGATCATTCAAATGATAATAGCAATGATAATAATGTTGATTAGAAAGATGGCTGTTATCATATTGTTTGTAATTTTTTATTTGAGATTTATATAATATCAAATAAATAAATATCTTAAAAGACTGTCAAACACTTTTGAGTTTTTTTTTTAATTTGTCTTAAGGATTTTATTCTTTTTCTTGTTCACGTGAATAAAATGTTCAAATTATATTAAAATCATTTATGAACAATTAAAATTTTAAGTTTATCTATTTGAATTTCTAATTCATTTGATTTACTAATTAATTAATTAAATAATTTATTATTATTATGTCAGTTAACTAATAATACGAAAATAAGTCACCAAGAATCAATTGTAGTAGGAAACGTAGTAGTAATTAGGTAGTAAGAGGCGTAAAAAATGAAAATTTTCATATAAAAATGAACTTTTGTAGTATCTAAACAATGATTGAGATAAATTTACATTATTAAAAATTTAAGATGAACGAAATTTCAAATGAGAGCCCAAAATTGGAGAAATTCTAAATTTGACGCATCATCATTTCTGAGGAAGCGTTTTGTTTGATACACTTTAAAAAATTTCAAGTTTATCCTGATTTCATTAAATTCATCTAAAGGTAGAAAATATTTGTTAGTATGATGGCATGTATAATAAGATTTGGTTAACGGTTGGAAGATTAAAAACTTAAATTGTATTAAAAATAAAATACGTTTAATGTGAGTTAATGACGGCACTATTAATTAAAATTACAGAAGCTGCCAACTGATGTTGTGTAATAAATTCACTTGAAGCTAGATTTTCCATCATGAGTTTAAATTAACGACGTACAATTAAGAAGATTAATCGTTCCTGCAAGCTGTTTTATCATGTGCTGGCACGTTCAAAAGATTGATGTCGATATGTGCACGCGAAATGTGTGTTCTACTCTGCGTATTTACATCCGTATAAATGGCACAATATAAAAAAAGAATATTAGAACAAGAATATTACTTCAACTAAATCTTTTTATTCAAGCTGGATTTATTTTTGATACTTTCGAACTGAGCGAATCTCAAGCTGTAGGTGAAGACTTCGCTTATTCTACTGTTGAGCTCCTTCTCATTTGTTGCCCAAATGGTCAACCAGTACTGACCATATCGTGGTAAGGTCATTGAAAACTTGCATTTCTTTGGCGCATCTTTTACAGATACCAGATGTGTGCAATCCTTGCCAGGCTCCAGTATCAGCTTCGGCAACAGTTTCACGTTCGGACCTGGTCGACTTATTTCCACACTCACATTCCCGTTTTTGTCAATTTTTTCAATTTCTGCGGACTTATGCGACAGAGTTTTCAGACTATAAAAATTGAAGGCTGGAGTTGGGCCTAAATTTGGTGGTTCAGGCAACGGATTAATAATCGGTTTTGACGATCGTTTCGGTTCATGACTGTTCGTAGAACCCTGATCGTGGGTTTGTGAATGGTTTGATTGCCGTTGTTCATAAGGATTTGGAAGCCTCTGTCCTCTCACGGACATCAATCTTTCGTCAGGCATATGTAGAGATTGATGACGAATTACTGTTGGTAGGTTTTCCGTTATGCCTCCTGGCATTGTATAGTCGTTTTCGTATATTAACGTGCTGTTGTTAGATTTATGCGGTTCTGTTCCGTTGGAAATATTGGTTCTGTGTGAATCGGTCCTTACGCTATCCGAAATCGACTCGCTCCTTTGAATTTGAGGCAAAGCTACTGGATTGCTTACAAAAGTGCAGTTGACCAAATATTTACAAACATGCGTTAGAGAGGCATTTGGATCATCGGGGTTGTCTGCATTTGCATATAAATCAATCCCATATTGGCCTTTTTGAGGGAATGTAACGTTTATAATAGCAATCTTTTCATCATTTATTGTGAAATTTATAAATTTTTCCAGTGCATTTTTATCGACCCCGTTATAACGAAGTTTAGCTAATATTCTCATCCATTTCTGCAGCTGAAACTTTAGCGTAACTTTTTCCGTTAAATTCAGCACTCCAACTGGATTACCAATGTTGATAATGCCAAAATGACGTTGAGCTTTTACAGGTCCCCACTCCCCCGGGGCACAACTTGGTAAGGGGTAGACCTTGCTGGTTATCTTCGAACAGATTATTTTAAATTTAGCGGCGCATTTTAATTTAAACGGCTGGTTTGGTTCAGTGTTCTCGTAATGAGGATCGTTGTCATTTGATTTGAAACAACTTTCGTCGTATCGATTGGCAAATATTTCTAAGAAGTACTCTCCAACTGCGGGGACATGAACGCTGAATAAGGATAATTGATCATTTATAATGTGAAAGACATATCTCTCCATGTCTACGCCGTTATAATGAGTCTCTTTCCTCTTGCTTCTGTCAGCAAATCGTAGATGGTAGTGAAATATTAATTCGTCTTTCAACTCGCTGGGCATGTTTATTTTTATTTCAACACCTCCACTCTGATCAGTTTCTAGAACGGCTTTTTTAGAACTTTCTCCAAACTCTAGACCATGATGAAAAAAAACGGATCGAACAAAAGGCATGTTCTCAAAGTCTTCCAGAGTTATAGGGTTCTCGAGAAGTTGCCAGTCCCGGTCGAGTGACCAGAACTCCATGATGAATTCGTCTGGATCTGTCAGGAAGTAGTGCTCGTCATATTCGTACCTGATTTTGTCGCGTAGTTTGGTTGTTTGTTTTTGTTGTTGCTGCTGCCTCTGCTGCTGTTGGGGATCTCTGTGCATCACCAGATGTCTAGAGTGTTATAATAATTTTTCAAATTATTGTTTGTTTTTAGATCAATTACAAAAAGCGTTGTAAAAAATGTTAAAACTACAACAAATAAATTTAAATTGATGAAAAACTAGAATAAACAAAATACTACATATAATTTAGTTTCGGCTAAAAACAAAAAATGAGAACAAAACAGCATCGTCGCACCGCACCTAGCTCCCCAGTTGCACTGCACAGGTCTCCAGTCTCCATTGATGAGCACCACGTTCCAGACATTCAGGAAAATCTCAGGCCTCACCTTCATGCCCGGCTCGTAGCCGACGCTTTTTGAGTGACCTTTGACCTCTTTGCAGAGCAAACCAGCGTAGCTTACGTTGGAGTGAAAATTGCAGATGTTTTTATGATTAGGATTAATTGATACAAAATGAAATCAGGTAAAAAATTTTAGTAATTAGTTACTTTAAATATATGTCGTTTGGTTTTTCTTTTGGAGTGAGTTATCTTAATAAAATGATCCATGACATTAGTCTAAATATAAATCTTTCACTTCGAATAAAATCAACTAAATTAAAACCAATCACACATTAAAATGAGTGATGAAAATAAATTATTAAACAGATAAAACAACTAAACGAGATAGCATAAACCACCCGGAGTTCCGCCAAACCACGCTCCATTATGCACTTATATGCAGTATATTTATTTTTACTCCAACTTTTCGATTTTTCCTGCTCCTGAAGCAGAGCTAAACTATTTTCCACTATGCTATACAATTGTATTTATTTGCATGCATATATATGTGCTGTGTGTATTTGTATAATGTTGTTTATGGGACGCAGTGCAATGCAAAGAACTAAATCTTTCATTAAATTTTAATAACTCCCAGCATAGGCATAAACATGACTCTCTCGCTAATCTGGCGTGGCTAATGATGGCTGAGGCTGGTATTTTTATGTTTGGTTGTAGTTGCTACTGCTGCTGCTGCTGCTGTTGTTGTGGCTGTTGGGGTTGGGATTGTTGCGGTTGGTGGTTGGTGGTAATTTTGTTGTTATTGATGGTTGTAGTGTTGTTGATAATGTTGTTCGTTGATGTTGTTGTCGTTGCGTTGCTGTTGGGTTAGTTACTTTTGTGTTGATGTTGTAGTTGGTTTTTGTTAGCTGTGTTTCTGTTGTTGTTTGTTTTTTGGTTTGTTAAATTTGTGTGTTGCTATCAGATGTTTAATTTTTGTGGTGGTTGTTGTTTCTCTGTGTTATTAGTTTCTGTTGTTCCTTCTATGTTTTTTTCATTTCTTTGTTACAGTTGTTAGAGTATTGTTCATACAGTTGTTTTTTTTTCCTGTAAGTTTATTGTTGTGTCTGTTGTGATGCTGATGTTAAGAAACATTTGCTAAGATTGCACAGTGCTCTTGTATGATGTCATCCGATAGTTTTATTTTGCCTCTGGTGTTTTTAGCACGCGTTGAAATATCTAAACATTCATAAAATTAAATAAAAAATGTTTGATAATTAGTAGAAAATTGTAATTAAATTACAAAAAAGAAAATAAATAATAAACAAAAAGTACAACACGTATGTAACAAATAAATATCAATGAATGAACATAGCAGGAAGAATGAAAATAAGATAAATCAAACGAGGCTGGCTTTATTTATGTGCAATAATAATGATTCTTTGTATAACACGAAATAATACATAATACCAAGATATGGATATAGGCCGCCATGGAAAGTCTATGTATTTGTCATTTTGTGTGTGTGTATGTGTGTGTGTGTGTGTGTATGTGTGTGTGTGTGTGGATGGGTGTGTGTGTGTGTCTTTGTGTATTTATCGTAAAATTCGTCTTGTGAAGTGAAAAAATTAAATTAAAATATACTATTTTTGATTTTTTTATGTGTAAAAATGATCCGAAAATGTATAAACGATTTGAAATATATATATAGAAGAAGAAAGAGAAGAAGTGAAAGAGAAAGATAGAAAGAGTGAAAGAGAGAGTATGGAAATAATTTGGTGGACTAATGATGTGAAGCATTTCAATTAGGATGAGAGTTAATACCTGCAAAGCCGCATGAACAGCGTGTGGTAGGTTTCAGTACCATACTTGATGCCACGGAGCAAGCCCAAGGGGGTGTCTTGCTTTACTGTCTCGCTGAATTCCATTACGTTCAAATCTTTCACTGTTATCCATCGGAATATGGCTCTGTTGGGATGGGATGGGATGGTCATGAGGTAAGTCTGTGGTGAGGATGTGACTGTGGTGAGAATGTGATGAGGACAATGGTAATGACGACCACGATGATATAATACGATAATACAACGCAATAATAAATAAGGTGAGAATGTGATGATGTGGTGATGAGAATTATGATGAAGAGGCTGGATATATATAAGCATGATAGCAATGGTGATAATGTTGAAAATGATGATGATGCAGAGAAGGAAGAAGAAAAAGAGAAGTGAATAAAAAATAAGTTAAAATTGACGGTTAGTTTATTTGCTTTAAATATTCTAAACATACGTGGGGTGTCATAAATTTTAAAAAAAATGTAATATCTCGAGGCGAATCTCAGTGTAACAACTTCGTTATATCGAGTTATGAGCTAAAAATTCATTCATTCGTGCTTGCTTTCTTGTAAGTTTATGACCGACTCCACTTTTTTAATATGCAACTTGGACTACCCCTACATGTGTTGCAATTGATTTAAAATCAAATTTAATGTGGCTACATTTTACAATTATTAATTTTGCATATATCCTCAAGTTACAATTACTATGCGTGTGTATAGTTGTGTCGGTGAAACACAAAATTTAAAATTAGAAAAATTTATCATAGCAAAGTTTTTTTTATGACATTATGATTTCTTGCATAAACTGAATGAAAACTAATTATTTTGTTAAATAAAAGTTTTGAAATTTTGAAAGTTTTGAAACTTCATTGAAATCAGCGCCAACCTCGCTTTTTCAAGATCTGTGACGCAATTTGCAGTTAGCTGATCGACTAGGTCTGTAAACGTACACTGCTCGGTTTCAGCCACCTTGAAAAAAGTTTTTAATCAAGAAATTTTTTCAGTAATTGTTTGTATTTAAGTAGAACAAAAATGTTCACCAACTTTGAAAACTTCTTCATCGAGATCGGCGAAGACAGAGGGATCCTTATAGAGATCCCTCTTCCGATACCTTGGTGGGTGCGGTCCGGGAATCTCGGACGGGAGTGTCATGACGGACAGGGCATCCGAAAACATTTGCTCGTCATCTTCGTTGGTCTAAAAAATTGAAAAGTCGCATTCAGTTTTTTTTATACCGTTTAACAGATATTTAAACAATTTAATAATAGATCAGAGAAAACATTAATACAAAAGAGAAAATAAAAAATTTTAGGACACCAATCTAAGCTAACCAATTCGGTAACAATTTCCTTTTTAAGCTCCATCTGCTTAACTTTGAGTAGAGTTAACATCTCCTCGCTGTGCTTCTTGACCATGGTGGCAGTCCTCTCCTGGGCTTTAGCCTGTAACTTCGTGGTCAGAGCTTCGTACCTGCTGTGCCGCTTCTTGTTCAGAGTCTTCTTCAAATCGTCTACGTCTCTTTCGTACGTCATCTGAGATGTGTGAGTGTCGGAGGAAATTAATTCGAAGACTAAAATGTTCATTTCCACATGTTAAATTTCTTAAAGTTGTCTTTGGATTCAAGATTGAAAAATTATATTTAGCGCTGAAGAACTGTTACTAAATACATTTCATTTAGAATAATATATTTAACGTATTAAATAGTTTATTTTATTTTTTATAAGCGTTAACTAACGCTTTCTTTTCTCTTCATTTTATTTTGTTCCAACAATTTTTTCAGATTCGATTCCCATTCCTGTTTGATTTCCAACTCCACGTTTTCAGCTTCCTTGATTCTTTCGTCGTGAAAGGCTCTGACAAGTTCATCCTCCTCTGCCCTCTGCTTCCTCTCCAGCTCTTCCTGGTACTTCAACAACTTGCCTCTTGTTTTGATCTGGAACAAATATGAGTGTGACATGCTATTGCTTTTTTAATCGCCTGAATGTTTGAATTAGTTCTTTGTTTTTTAATTTATAAAATTATCTTTGAATCATTAATTTGACATTTATTAAAACAATGTTCATAAACAACCAGCTAACAATAAACTTATTAAAAAACGCGTTTTTGTACAAATTGTCAACAAGAAACAAAATAGAACATTTCGTTTCAATTAGGCTGAAATATGAAAAAGTATTTTTTTAGACGTCGCATGTAGAAACAGAAGGTAACTCGAGTATTTTAAAAAATGAATTAGAAAACATCTTTTAAACAAACAAACCCAAGCAGGGAACTGATGCCTGTTGTTTAGCAGGTACTTCCTATCAAACTCGCTCTGCGCCTGGATGGCCTCTCTAATATGCAATGCGTCTGCCCCTATTTTAGGCACATCCCCGTACCACCGTATGACATCACCGGATGCTTTGACACCTCTAGCTGGAGCTAACATGGCGGCTCTGATATTGACGGCACTCGCATCAAAATTTGTCGGGGGTAGTTTGGGACAGTCCTTGGAGCAGTAGAGTTTGCGATCGTTGCTGTCAATGGGGTTGGTGAAGTAGGTCTTTAGGGAGAGAATCTGGAATGAGTTGGAGAAACATTTGTCAGAGGGATGAAAGTTTAAAAACATCTTTAGGGTTTTGGATATACAATTTTTTAGAGGTTTGTCATTTGAAATGAAAATCTATATTTAATCAATTAGTCAGCTATAATTCTTGCCACAATTTCCCTTGCCACAGTTTCCCAATCAAAAAATAATCCAATTAGTCAACTAATAATTAATTTAATATTTACTTGACCAATTAATTAATTTTTCAATCATTCAATTGAGATATAAATATACAAACCTGAGAACAAAGGCAGCACTTGAAGCATTTTTTGTGGAAGGTTACGCCGTTAACCGGCCCAATCTTCTCGACTTGGTACACACGCTCGTCACAGTGTGCACAATTTTCTGAAGTGTTGCTGAAATTAAAGTTATTGTTGTTGCCGTTGGAAAATTTGTTGGGTGATTTGATGTTGTTGTTGTTGTTGTTAAAATTGTTGTTGTTGCTGCTAGAAAATTTGTTGCCGAAGTTGTTGTTGTTTTGGTCGTTTTTTGAGAAGAGTTTGATGAGACTCGTAGGAGTATGGTGGGATTCTGTCTCGGATGTCGACATGGCCATTGTTGTTGTTGTTGTTTTTTTGTTGAAATGGTATATATATCAAATTTTAATTGATCTATTTAATGAATTTTGTTCCTATAATTATTGCTATTGTAGCTTGGTTTGTCGTGAATCAATTTGCTGTTGTGTCTTGTTTGTTCTTGCAAATCTAAGCAATTTAAAATGATTGGAAAATTTATCGGTCAAATTTAAAATCAATGTCCATGAAACTAAAAATATATTTTTATAGTGCAAAAATTATGTGATTGTTAATGAAACCGATAGCAGTTTTGTAGATTTAACATTTCTTTGTTGATGTTTCTGGCGAGTTAAATTGTTATCTATGATGATGTCTCAATGGAAGAAAAACTACATTAGCTAGCGAAATAATTTTCTTCAACAAGTCTTTAAATTAAAATCATTTAAAGTTAATATTGTTACAATAGTTACAATATACTCACACACATATATACTACTCTGAAAAAACTCAATGCACAGTTTCTTCGAGCTTTGTCGAAATGTCGCCAATTTACTTGCTTCGAAATGTTAATGTTATAAATAACTAGCTTATAAATAGAACAATCGAATTAGCAGAAATAACAATATGCATGTAACGTAAGAGTTGGTAAAGCGGAGTAGTTATAAACAGCAATGTTAGCAACGTGATTGAAAACTGTTATAAATTAAAACCAAGCTACTTAGTAAGGCATTTATATAAACGTTAAAAGACTGGAACATACAAAATTAAACAAACAAAAAAGTTAAACATATACGCAGACGCAAACAAACGTTAATAAATTAACAGGAAAAAAAACATACTCTGGAAAAAACACACAACAAACAAACAAAACCACACATACGCAGACGTACTCAAACATATTTAAAAGTAGAAAAATGAATAATAACCCTTGCAAAACATCACGATATCCAATAGAAATTAAATACACGCTCATACACATTCACATTTTTCATATTCAGAAATTGCAAATACTAAGCTAGGTTTACATATGTATGTGTATATGTATGTATATATAAATATATATATATATTTATATCCTTCTAACTGATATACATATGTGTATACCTTGAAATACCTTTATTACAAAGCTCTAAGCTGTATAATGAACAGCTGACAATTATGACGATAATGACTAGACAATGCTGATAATAGTAGTGATTATAATGATGATCATGAGGAAGATTATAATGATGATAGTATTGATAGTGGCGATGATGATGATGTTGGTGATAGTTATGGTGATGATGAGGAGGAGGAGGAGGAGGAAGAAGAGGAGGATAATGTTGATGCTACAACAATGATGATGATGTTGCTGATGATGATGTCGACAACGAATGTAGAGATGATGACGATGATGACCGCGATGATGATGGTGATGATGGTGGTGATGATGATGGTAGCGATCGATGAAGCGAGAAAATTGTTTGTTCACAATATGACTAACGTTAAGGTATGTTTATGCATGTCGCAAATAAAGTACAATCACATATGTGTGTGTGCGTGTGTGTGTGTCTGTATGTGTGCGTGTGTGTGTGTGTGTGTGCGTGCGTGTGTGTTATTTTTTATTTTCTAAGTGCGTTTCTTTCTGTTTGAATGCTCAATTATTATACATTGCTTATTCATTTATAATGCATGTGTGTGTGCGCGCATAAACATTCCCACGTAAGAATGATTTGTTTAGTTGTATCTATGCCTGGCATTACTTTTGTATATTTGTTTATATGTTTGTGCGTGCATGTATGTGTGTATGTATGTGTTTGTACAATTAAGCGTGCGTGTATATATGTGGATAAGAAAGTTCGTGTGCATGTGGATATGAAAATTCGTGCACGCACGCACATGTAACTGTGTGCGTGTGTTTGCTTTCCGCGAGGTCTTCTTATCAAGTCTCATGTGACAAATCTATTCAAAAGACGGGTACATTATATCTATTTGTTTGTGTGTTTGTGGTTGTGTATGTACGTGTAATTGTTTGTATATTTGTATGTGTTTGTATGTTTGTAAGTGTGTTTGTATACATCTCGCAAACAATTTTAGATTGTCGGTCGTTTATGAAGGCATGTTTGTCTGGGTGTATGTCTGCGTATTGCTATGAATGTACAACTGTTTGTATGTATATTTGTTTGTATGCTTGTGTGTATGTATATATACTTACGTGTGTGTGTGTGTGTGTGTGTGTGTGTGTGTGTGTGTGTGTGTGTGTGTGTGGTGATGTGTGTGTAAATGTGTGTGTATGTGTGTAAATGTGTGTGTTTAAATTAAGTGTATTATGCATTCTAGAAAAACCTTCAGCTGAGATAGCATGACATGGTATAATTGGGATATATGTATCCTAATATAGGTTATAATAACAAAAACTTAATTATAAAAATCACTTCAATGAAATATTTCACAAAATTAAACAATATAAAACAGTTTAATAAACAAAATGGATAAATAAATTGGCGTCGAATCCATGTTAGAAAATTTCAAATCTGACCACAAGTTGATTTTACGGCGCAATAATTCAGAAAGATGGATCTAGGCAGTATCTTCTCAAATCGTACAAGGTAATTTATCGCCAGCTGTTAGACTTGTTTGCTCAATCATTAGCCTTAGACTCTTACGATACAGTCGATAAACTTAAATCCATTCATCCAAAAGCTGCTCTAAACAGGAGTAAATTTCCATTTAAAGTTTCTGCAAATTTTTGAAAGCGTTGAAATCTTTTGGAAATGGCTCATCCAGGTGGCCTTGATAGATTGAGACCTCAACGCTCTAAAGACCTTGTGGCAGGTCTCATTTCAGAAATATGCTCAAGTTTTTTCTTCAATAGTTGTCTGGTTGCTTTGGCCAAGAAAGACGGTAATGTGTGCCCTATTGTAGTTGGCAATGTTTAGAGAAGGCTAGCAAGCAAATGCAAAACATGCTTTTATCATAGAGGAACTTGAGGCTAGGTTTTATCTAATTTAACTTGGTGTATGAATTAAAGGTGGTGCCGAAGCAACCATACAGGCAGTTTGTAAACTCGGCTTAACGGTTCAAAAGTCTTTCCAATGCAATTGCGGTCCAATCGTCAACGAGTTTGATCACCATGGCCTGGTTTGCAGATTAAGTGGCGGTCGACAAGTTTGCCACTTTGCTTTCAATGACTACATTTGCAGACTTTTCTCAAAAGTATCAGTTTCAGTGTTGAAAGAACTATCTGGAGTTTCAGCTCATAACAGTAAGCGTCCGAATAGCTGCACACTAATCTCATGGAAGGCTGGCAAAGGTTCAGTTTGGGACGTTACTATCCCTGGCACTCTTGCATAACGATACATCAATCTAACCAGCTTAGAAAGTAGTTCTGGCGCAACCAGGGCTTCTAATGAAAAACTGGAAAAATACGATAATGCATTATCTTCAATGAAATTTCTTCTGATTTGTGTTGAAGTCCTTGGTCCTATGGACAAAGCTACATTTGATTTTTTAAAGATATTTGCAACTTTATAAGTGCACCGGAGACGAAAGCAAATTTTTCTTCTCAATGAGCCACATGTCTCGTATGTAGCAGCCATTCCATCGTGTTTCCGTGGTTGAGAATATTCAAATGAATGCTGACAGTTTCAATTGATCTATATATACAAACATACATACATATTTAAGTACATACATGCACACATATATGTATATACACATTGTTTGGTATGTTAAAGGACGGTTGAATTTATTGTTTTAGTTGCTATTTCTGTGTTTTTCTTTGTTAAAAATAATTATTCATACATATATACATACATATATACATACATACATACATACATACATACATACATACATACATACATACATACATACATACATACATACATACATACAAACAAACACACATTCATACATACATACAGGCCTGTGCTTTGATTCATGGTTATTGAATTCACTTCGCTCAACTCGCGGTCATTTGTTAGATGGTAACGCTCGCCGCGTATTAGCGGGTATTTGCGAGTGTATCTCTGTTCGTATGTGCGTGTGTATATGTGTGCGTGTGTATATGTGTGCGTGTGTATTTGTGGGGAAAATGTTTATTTCTGATACAAAAGTACATTTATTATGTTGGTTTGTTAATGTGTTTTTATTTTAACGCTTTTGAATCTATGTTTTTGTCATTTGTGTTAACGTTTTTATTTACTATTTCGTTTTAATATACAACGTTGTAAAAAACATTGAGCCTCTACGAGCGAGCATGTATATTAATTTTGTATATGTATTTTATGTGTGTTTTTATGTACGTGCGTGAGAGTTTATGTATCTACGATACCAATATATTGATGGTACAAAAGAAGATCAATGTTCAAAGTTGTTTATCTCTATGAGTTTGTTTGTGTATGTGTATTTACGTGCGCGCGGGTGTGTGTGTTGCTGTATGTGTGTATGTGTGTGAGAGTGTGTGTGAGAGTGTGTGTGTGTGTGTGTCTGTGTGTGTTCTTGAGAGCTTCATTCAATATCAATAATGCGATATAACGTTGAAGTTTGATCACTCAAGAGGTGTCACTATAAATATCTTGGATGAAAAAAAGAATTAAAATAATTTAGAAATAAATACAAAGTCGATTTTTATATAAAAAGAATAATGAAACAATATAAATAATAATGACAAAAAATTGATATCTTTAAAATGATAAATAAATAAATAAAATATTTGAAGTTGAAACTAACGCGCAAAATATTAATGTGTACAAAAAATAAAAAATTTTTCATAAAGTTGAACCTTGGTTTAAAAAAATTCCAAGTAGAACAAATAAAACGTTAATAAACTTAACAAGTCTAAAAATTACAGTAGTAACACTAATTACACAAAAAAATATGAAGTGAACATTCACATAGCATGACGTCACTAGCATCAATCTTGGCAACATCAACATCAACGAAACGTTTTCACAGCTGCAACAACAACAACAATAGTATCGTAAACATCATTCTAACAACAACAGTAACAGCAACAACAACATTATCAACAGCATCAACAACAACAGCGCAACAACAA